TCACCGTTCTCTCTTGTGCCTAGTTTTGCATTGAAGTCTCTCATTAACACCGTATATTGGGTTTTGGAGGAATGCATGGCTCTAGAGATATCCTCATACATTTCCTCCACCTCCTCATGGGGGTGTGCCGAGGTTGGTGCGTAAACCTGTATGACCTTCAGCGAATTCCGTTGGGTAATTCTGAGTATAAGGTACGCAACCCTCGTCGACACACTCTCAATCTTTACAACGTTGTTAACGAGAGACCTGTGGACATTAATCCCACACCTCCTTGGGACAGATGGTCGCCCTCCCGGTGATAGAGCAAGTTGCCGGATTCGAAGATTACCGTGTCCTCCCCCTCTCTTCGGACTTCGGATAATCCTATAATATGCCAGCGTAAATTGTCTATCTCTTCTTCCAGCTCCAAGATCTTCTCGTCAGTCCTCAGGGCGCGTGCGTTGTAAGTTGCCAGGTCGAGAGTAAAATATACGCTATACGGGAATGTTTTGAAGAAGCTGCTGACGCATCAACCAGTTACCAACCCAATGATCCTAAGAATTCCGCTGCAGCAGAGTTAGATCATTACTTAAGCATACCAAGGGCTGCAAGAGATGCAAATCCATATAAATGGTGGCTTTCTAACAAAGGCCATTACCCCATCTGTGAAAAAGTTGTGGCTCAATACTTATTAACACCCGCCAGTTCAGTTAACAGTGAACGGCTTTTTTTAGTGGCGGGCTTAGTATATTAAGCAAAAAGGAGCAAACTAGACCCAAGTAGGGCCGAAAAACTAGTGTTTTTGCATCTCAATCTTCCTCTCTTAAATTTTAAATATTAGTAATAATAATTTCTATTATAGATTCTTATGTACGTTCTAAATATTTCTGCTGCTTCTCATGTTCCTGATGTTTTAATGTGTCTAATATAATAATAATGCTAAAAACTGGCTCTTTGACTTTATTTTTCTCTGGAATATAATTAAGGCCGGGTACTCGGTACTCGGCCGTTAATACTAAAAAAAGGCCGAATCCGCCGAGTACCGAATCCAAACCGTGTACTCGTCCCATGTCTAGTTTGGAACATTTTTTCGGTGGTTTTGTGGGCATACAACATATCTATAAAAATATTATTGACTTTAGTAGTAAGACTTTGCATACAATTCACGCTTTCCGACTAAAATCAAAATAGAATTTTTTATTTTTATTTTTGTTTCGAGTGTCATTAAAGCACTAACATTGGAGTGCTACTTATGTGCTCTCCCAAAGCCCTACGATAATGTAAACTGGCCACTTTCTAATGTCATTTATCTGCCGACCCTTTCACAAGGACGTCAACTTAAAATAATTATATGCATTAAAATCACTGAAAAGAGACAAATAGCAATTAATACAACCATAAACATACCAAATATTCTATTGTCATTGCAGCTATACCAGGCACTAACATTTTTTCTTCTAAGAGCATTTGTAAGGTAACACCTCTTCCGGGCATGGATTTATTACCAGGCTGGGCTTCAGATTCCTTAAATAAATACATAATATAATTATGAAATATATACAAAAATAAAATTGATGAAAGATGAAAAAAATAGAAACAGGAATATGAATACAGAATATAATAAAAGCAGATATTAAAAGATGTCATCTAATAAAATAGCTCAAAGCTGAGCACTCCCTGTAGTATATGCAATAGAAGATGCACAGAGATGCTCTTTGTGAGAGCCTGTGGATTGTGCTGCTGTTCATTAAATAGGTTTAAGTGGAAGGAGCTGGTATTTGAATGCCTCAGCCCTGAGACCTGCTTCTGTTGAGCTGATAGTGGTAGGGCCATCATAAAATACTATCTTTCTCTACTAAGCACATTAAGTTTTTTAGTAACCAGTTTAGCCCTCGCATGGATATTGTAAGAGACAATAGAGGGAAACAAACAAAAAAATAACATTAAAAATGAGAAACTGTGATTTCTAACTCGGTGTTTGGAGATCTATGTTCAGCAGTGGACTTTTGTTTCCCTGTAAAGGTAACAGTATACACTAAAATAATGTTCACAAAAAAATTACAAACAAAAATCACTAGATGAAAAATTAACATCTGCCTTAGACAACAACAGAAGGAAAAAAGTATATGAAGAATCAGTGTAAATAGAGATCCATTATTTAATACAAAAAAAAACTTAAAGCACCACATCTTAAAAGATTTCTCTTGACTTTAAACCAATTAACTACCTATTTAAATAGTCAATGTAATTTCTTTGATTAATTTGATTTTACCACATTAAATTATTACTAACTTGACATACATCAACAACTACACTATTGTATAATTTTGAAACATTATCAAATGAACAAATTATAAATAATTTGCTAAAATAAAAAATGAGCATTTGCTAGTGTCTAAGGTGTTTTTAAAAGTATAGATACGTCATACTCGCTCTAAAATGGCAATACGAAAGACAGGTAATTGCCCGACTCGCATTCAGTCAGGCACGTTCTCGCATCACGTCTATACCTTTGCTGCAGCACATAAATCTTCTAGTTATTTGTGGAAAAAATACCTTGCTGTGTTTTTAGGTGGTGTAGAAATTACACGCCAACTGTTAGAGACTAGAAAAACGTCTCATTAATATTTTGAATATAGATGTTTTGTTCATAATTGGTTTTATTATTTTAACACTAACCGCTAGTGTAAAGTTTGACACTAGCTAGTGTGTTTATTTTCCATATCGGTATGTCACACGCTCGTGCCAATGAGTGCTCGACAGCAATCAATATGCAACTAATGATGTATATTCATCTTTTTCTAACGAAAGGTGCATACCTATCATTTGTCTCTTTTTGTTAGTGCAACATGTCATAATAAATAACTGTATGTAGATATAGTACTACCTGCGCCACTTTAAAATTCAATAATGTTAGTGTGTAACCTGTCTATCTTTTTTAATATGTCTGACTAGTGTAGGCATTTTTCAAAAGAGTTCAAGAGAAAGTATTTAACATCTAAGATTGTCTTCTTATTCCTTGTTGTGATGTCTAGTTGGAAGTTATTCTCAATAAAAAGCTTCAATATTCATTACCCATCAAGTAATATCATATTTTGATTATTATTGAGATTCAATTATTTGACCGTGTAGTAGCAGTGTAATAATATCCACTACCCCATATCATCCTGTCGGTGTCGTAAGAGGCAACAGAGGGAAACAATTAATGAGATCGGCAGCAACTAAAAATAAGAAACTGTGGTTGCTAACCCGCTTACCAAACATGGAAACCATGGCATATATTCCCCCTATGAGGCAATCTATGCGGGAGGACTATGTTCAGCAGTTAACATTAATAGGCTGTACTGGTAACGGTATTCAATGAATGGACTAATGATAGTGTTAATAAATATTTCTATTACTTCAAAAATTTGGCTTCACTATTCTATTTACAAATAAATTATTTTAAATACCTCATCAGAAAAGTCATCACCGCTACCAATCTCTTCTTTGTCTTCTTCAACGGCTTCTTTATGAGATTCATTCTGTTTATCATTCTTGTTTTCATCATTTGCATTAATATTGTTGGTACCAGTTACTGCAGTGTCTGAAGATGAAACATTATTAAACATACTTGATGAAGACATTAAAGCTGCAGCTAAATGAGATGTTTGCATATCCATATTGTTAATTTAGAATTTCAGCTTTTTGTTTAAAAAAAATAGTTCTAAATGCCTATTTAGTATTTACTATTCGTATTGTATTGTTGATAGTAGGGATGCTCGATGATCATCGATCTGCGATGATCATCGATGTCAAAAATGAAAACATCGATGTTTTAACATCGATGTTGCCACATGTCAAACATCGAAACATCGATGTCAATAAACCAATAATCGAATATTGGGTACTTGCGAACACTGTAAACCCGCGAAATCAATATCAACTAAATGTTGCATCTTTTCTAAGTGATGTACAAATTACAAGGCAACTGTTAGAGACTAGAAAAACGTCTCATTAATATTTTGAATATAGATGTTTTGTTCATAATTGGTTTTATTATTTTAATGGTGGCCACTCACGGTCAGTTAAACTGACGTACATCCAAAAACTGACCGTGAATGTGAAATCTTAAGTTGAAATTTTTAACTGAAGACAACACACGGATTTTTTCGAGCGTGCTATCAGTCAAACCGCTCAGTTGAACTGACATACATCCAAAAACTGATCGTGAATGTGAAATCTTAAGTTAAAATTTTTAACTGACGGCAATCCACGTATTTTTCCGGGCGCACCGTAATCCGCTGGCTTCAGTTTGTTTCCATTATTGGTAAGTACATACTTTCTTAGTAGCTTTTATTTACATTTTATATTTTTTTTATAACATTATTTGTATGCTGTTTAGATTTTATATTATTTTATATATTTAGAGAAGTTGGTTTGACAGAGGATGGAGACCAAGGTGATTGTAATGATGTCACCTTCCTTATGGTGGACTCAGAAGGTGGGTAAAGGGTCTCAGTGATGCTACTACGTAGAACCATCGTGTTTGAACTCATTTTCAAATAGGTAAATGGAGACCTAGATGACTGTTATGATATCACCTTTATGTTGGTGCAATCCGAAGGTGAGTATAGGATCTCAGTGATAACACTAGATAGAAGGATCGTGTTTGAACTCATTTGAAAGGGGTCATTAAGACAAAAAAATATATTAAAGTATCGATATATCGGGAAATAAAATATCGGCGATATATATATCGATATTTTTATAAAAATATATCGATATTTCGATATTTTTTGCCCAAGCCTACATTAGATTAGAAGTTGATAGGTAGGATTTTCCTTATATATTACTATACTCTTTGGGTAGGATTGGAAATTGGAAATTGGAATGGATTGGATTTAGGAGCAAAGGAAAGAGTAATTTTTGGAGAGTAACTATATTTAAATAACCGAAGGTGTAATAAGTGTATGTACAGTTACACTATTAATATGTAAAAAATGGATTTATACAATAAGTAAATACCTAGTTGATTTATAATGGCCATTGTTAAAACACCAGTGCTCAAAGTAATTTTGTGTGGTGAATACGGTGTAGGAAAAAGTTCTATATTCAGAAGGTTTATAAATAACACATTTGTTCCAAATTCAGACAGAAGATCAACATTAGGACTAGATCACTTTGAGAAGGTCTTTCAAGTCGCGGACAGAGATGTCAAGGTATAAAACCTATTTTTTTTTTGTTATTATTAACTTTAAGAATTAAGTTTAATTTAATTTTATTCTTATCCAAAACTAGATAAAAAGCGCGGTGACCATAATAAATAATAATAAAATTTGAAGTGTCATTACAAAAGTATCCAATCTTAATTTCAGACTTAATTATAAAAGTCTGAAATTATGCAGGAGTATTATGTGGGACTCTCCCCACCAGGGATTGAATACCGGTACCAATTTCGGTTCTGGTTCTTAATTTAGGTTCTTATAAAGGTTCCTCTTTTTGGTACGGTTTGGGTTCCGGTATCGGTTCGGTTTGGGTTCTGATATACCGGTTCTGAGAACCTCTAATCAAATTTCTCCAAATCCGTAGATTGATCTAAAAACTGTAGATGCTATTTTAAAATATCCGTTCCATTGAGGATCGACAATTTTTGTTTTTGTACTTAGTTGAAAAATTCTTTCTGCCATGGAAAATTCTTGTTGTAAGTTTAATTGTAGTATAACATCGAATCAAGCTGCACATGTAAGAAAAAAATTGATTAAAATTAACTGTTTTCTTTTAATAAAATAATTTTTAGTAAAAACAAACAAAATAACTATACACACTTTAATATTTAATTTTATTTTACTTTTGTGATTTACGATTTTATGATGTTATTTAAGATTACTGTTGTGAACCACTTCAACACGAGCATTTTAAGCTTACCAAAAGTGGTTAAAGGGAATACTAGTAATGTTAAGCATTACTACTATTTAAAAAAAAATGTTGCATACAGCATTTGTGTACACCACACTTTTGGGTGGGGCAAAGTTCTATCGAGAATCTGGCATTCTCCTTTGAAATCGATTAATCTCACAAAAATTTGATATTTATGGGCAAAAATGGTTTTATTTTAATACTTATTTAATAATTAATTATTAAATATAATTTAATACAGACAACATAGAAGAGAAAAAGAGAATGACATTGTCGGCAAGTTCACACCCATGATAAAAATCTTGTTAACTTCTTGTTAAGTTTATAAAAATTCCGTATATTGCAACCTAAAATTCCGTAGTTTTTTTTTATAGGATAGGGTGACAAACGAGCACACAGTCCATCTGATGGTAAGTGGTTGCTGGGGCCCATAGACATTTACATCTATCCTCTATTACGAATTAAAATGTGAAAGATCATCCGTGAGGACTAAGATGGAATGCCTCTTTTCTAGTAAAAAGGATCTCCAGTTTTCTACACTCACCATACGAAACACAGCAGTGTTAAGCTGCTTTTCCGTAGATGACGACAAATTTCTGTAGATCTATGGAAAAATGCGTAGAGTTGGCAACACTGCGTTGATATGCAACAGAAGATCCACCAATACAAATGTGATGTTTTACAAACTCACCTCTCCTCACACTCCGTCGCGCGCAAAATCGCCCCGTCCACCCAACCGCACCTCAAACAAGTTTGCTTAGGAACCTGTAAAATAATGGTTCTTAAAGGTTCCAATTTAGGTTCTGGTTCCAGTTCCGGTATAGGCACCGAAAGCTCTAAATACCGGTTCTATACTGGTATTTTGGAACCGTTTTCAATCCCTGCTCCCTACTGATTTAGGATGACGCCTGACTTGAGTATGTTGTTGAATATCCTGTAGTAGCCAGTTAGGATTGGAGTCAGTTCCTCTGTCGTGCCCTCATCAGCTCATTTAGTATGTTGTCTGGCCCTGACGTTCTTTCTAGTTTTTGAGAGTGTATGGCTCTCTGTACCTCTGCTCTAAGTATGGGCGGTACGTCATTATATGTAATTGTAGGTGAGCTCCTCCAATATTGGACCAATTTAAAAGTTATTTCATAAACTGAATAAGGATAGTGTAAATCCTTCTCCTCTCATGTTCCTATGTTTTTCTTTTTTCAGTATTAGATATCAAATTTAAACACAAGGCTTCTGCTTCTGTTGACAGCGGTCTAAATAGGCAATTTTGAGCATTTTGTAAGGCTTGTAGTGGTTATAATGTGAGATCAAAAAAGAAAACATTGGGACATAGATGAGATTGATATTCATTTTACTGTTAAAACTCATTGCTATATAAGGTCATAAACCAAAAAGAAAACAGGCGAGTGTGTTTGTATGGAGAAAAGACCACCCGACGTTTTTGACGTCTTTGCTAGCGGATTTTGAGGGGATAAATACTATAGCAGATCAGTCGCTCCTAGAAGAACAGGTAGCAGCTGTTACTAAGGCCATGATAGACAGCTACCATGAATCATGTCCAGAAATCACTCCACCAAGACATGCCGAGGTAAAACAACCGTGATGGGGTAAAGAACTCGATAGAAAACGTAAGAAGGTAAGAAAAGCTCTAAATAGGGCCATGAATACCTCAATGGATGAAGACTGGCTATTATATAAGAAAGCTAAGTCTGAATACAAAAAATGTATCAGGTATCGACGCTCGATTGGGTGGCGTAAATTCTGTGGCAACATAGAAACCTGCAAACAAGCAAATAGGATTAGGAATATTCTAGCTAAACAGAACACGTCGGGATCCATGTCTCTAAAGAAACCCGACGGTAGCTACTCAACATCGCCGGATGAAGCCCAACGCATCCTAATTGAAACGCACTTCCCAGGTTGCTGCGTAACCCAGGAGGCAAACCGGCATGACGACATACTGACATCAACAGCAGAAGACTGGAATTGAGCACAGAGAGTGGTAACGATGGACAAAATCCATTGGGCCATTCACAGTTTCCTCCCCTATAAGGCGGCAGGACCCGACGGCATATTCCCGGCACTCCTACAGTGGGGGGGTAAAGCCCTAATAGTCAGACTTGCTGCCATAATGCGAGCCTGTCTTGCTCTTAAATATGTTCCTAGGGGATGGAGGTAAGTGAAAGTTACATTCATACCCAAACCAGGTAAGAGCGACTACACTGACCCTAAATCCTACAGGCCCATTAGCCTCACATCCTTTCTCCTAAAGACGATGGAGAGGATGTGTGAAAGGGAATTAAGGGGGTCGGCGCTAATGAACTTACCACTACACGACAAGCAACACGCCTACAGTCTAGGCAAATCAACAGAATCGGCCCTTCATAAGGTAATTACAAAGATTGAAGAGGCCATCCAAAATAAAGAAATATGTCTAGGTTCCTTCATAGATATAGAAGGTGCTTTTGACCGAACGAACTTCTCCAGCATAAAAGGTGCACTCGGTAGACACAAAGTTGAACCGGCACTGATCGACTGGATAGTTTACATGCTCAGTACACGAATAATAAAGATTGCTGGTGAATCTCAACCAATCCAAATTAAGAAAGGCTGCCCGCAGGGTGGGGTTCTCTCACCTCTCCTGTGGAATATGGTCATTAATGAACTCATCAGCAAATTAAATGACAATCACTTCTATACAGTAGGTTATGCTGATGACCTGACAATACTGGTCTCTGGAAAGACAGCAAGCATAGTGTGCGACCTGACCCAAGCGGCTCTCCGTATAGTGGAGAGATGGTGCAGGGAACACGACTTAACTGTCAATCCAAATAAAACGGTTTTAGTTATGTTCACACAAAAACGAAAGCTGAATAACTATCATCCTCCAAGTCTTTTTAGCACAAAACTCCAGCTATCCTCTGAGGTAAAATATTTAGGTCTTACCTTGGACAGCAAACTTAACTGGAATAAACACATAGAAAACAAAATCAACAAAGCTAGTATAACTTTCTGGCAATGCAGAAACATGATTGGCAAAAGATGGGGATTGACGCCAAAAATCATACTGTGGCTTTACAAAACTGTAATTCGGCCCATGATCACATACGGCGCTCTGGTATGGTGGACCAAGACAAATGAAGCCACCATAATTAAAAAGCTTCAGCGCTACCAGAGACTGGCATGTATGGCTGCTACAGGCTGCATGAGAACTACGCCAACAGCAGCCTTAGAAGCGATGCTGGAGCTAACTCCGCTTCATCTACATATACAACAAGAAGCGACTTTAGCTGCCATCAGACTCAAGACCCTAAATCTTTGGAGTAAGAATAGTGTCCCTCATACAGGCATAATTGATAGAATTCACTCAAAAATTCCTATCCTACAAGCCAAATACGATAGGATTCCTAAACAATTTGTTTTCGATAAGAAATACAAGATACAGTTAAATGAAAACAGCCAGCCGGAAGGATTAAGCCCAAAAGAGCTTAGAATTTTCACCGATGGTTCTAAAACAAATGAAGGTGTAGGTTGTGGAGCTTTCTCTGAAGACCTCAATATTCACATATGCACACCGCTGGGTACCTATAACACGGTCTTTCAGGCGGAATGTATGGGTATCATTCAAGCGGCCATAGCAATAGATGCTAGGAAGGTTAATGACTTCCCCATCAGAATACTGACCGACAGTAGGGCGGTACTCCAAGCCCTGAGATGCAATGTGGTGAACTCGGGACTAATATATGAATGCCATCAACGATTAAATGAGGTATGTAAAAACAACAATGTGACCCTGCAATGGATAAAGGGACACAGTGGATCCAGAGGCAACGATGCAGCAGACGAACTTGCCAGAAGAGGATCGGCTTTGGCCACTATAGGGCCGGAACCGATCATACCAATCCCCTTTGGTAACGTTTGTTCACTGGTACGTAGACACTTTACTAATCAACACGCTCAGCTTTGGAAAAATCTAGTAGACTGTAGACAAGCTAGGGATGCCCTGCCTGAAATTAACAGTCGCTTAACAAAAGTTTTAATGAGACTGAACAAGCCGCAGATTAGGATAGTAACAAGTGCTATCACAGGACACGGCACCTTTAACAAACATTTATTTACTATAGGTGTTACAGATAGTCCCCTGTGCAGGGCATGTATGGGGGAGGAAGAAACGGCGGCCCACGTGCTACTGAAATGTCCGGAGGTCGCTACATACAGGGCTAAACATCTCGGCACGCCGGGATCACTCCCCGAAGTTGCATGCAACATCAAGGGCCTGTTGAGCTTCTTCGGAGAGATCTCATGGCTCGAATAATCACATTATTCCTGCCCACACGCAAATTACGCGCATAGACGTGGAGTTGCGGAAAACAGCCCGTCGTAAACTAAACTAAACTAAACTAAGACCACCCGCATTTCGTCTTAAGTATTGTTGCATCACGTCTCTGTGTGAATTAACCCTAATGTGTCTAACAGTTTTGAATTTCAATTACTTCCTTTCATGTCAGCAATATTTTTACAGATGTATAGTACTACAAATTTAATTTAATTATTGTAATATATTCAAGCACCTATTCAAGTATTTATTTGCTCGCTAAGTTTAGAATAACATACATACATACATATAATCACGCCTCTTTCCCGTAGGGGTAGGCAGAGACCAGTTCTTTCCACTTGCTACGATCCTTACATACTTGTTTTGCTTCGTCCACTTTTCTTACAATGAAAGTGAAAGTTTAGAATAAGGTCTTATTTATTACAAATACCTTTTACAGGAGTAGCAAAACAAACTAAGGTGTAAATTAAAAATTGTACATTATTATTATTAAAATGAAATATTTCATATGCAAGTTTATAAGATAACATAAAATTTAGTATAGGTATTTCAAATTTTTGATAAAAAAACTAATATAAAACAATTGATTGTTAAAATATTTGTCTATTGTATAAAAAGAATTTTCTACTATGTTTTTAATTTATAAAGCTTATTTAAATATGTTTGTCAATGCTGCTACAAAACAAAAGAGTCACATATTTCAACTAATAAAATATCAATTTCAGCTACAGTTATGGGATACTGGCGGAATGGAAAGAATTGCATCAGTAACATCTAGTTACTATAAATTTGCCGAAGCAGCTATTCTGGTATTTTCCCTTGATAATGCCTCCTCCTTTCATGTGTTAAGCCAGCACTTGTTAGATATTGTGACATATGCTGAAAATGCAAAAATATTTTTATGTGGAAATAAGTCAGACTTAGAAGGGACATCGCCTCAAGTGACTGATGCAGATATAGAAAATTTTTGGTACGTTATTTTTTTAATGGTCATTGTATTTTTATAACATGTATTTAAATTCTTGATAAGTTATATTTCATTCCAGTGAACAATGTCACAATCTGATAAGCACTACTTATAAAACATCGTGTAAAACAGGAAAAGGGTTGGAAGAAATGTTTTCAGACATAGCTCTACAGTTGGTAGAGTCAAACAGATCAAGAATAGAGTTGCAGACACTAGATCATAATAGTTTTAAAATAACTCAACCAGAACCCCCTGAAGAACCCTCGTGTAGTTGTTAAAAGTATTGACAAAACAGGTCTAATTTTTTTATGAATTTTTATGAACATTTATCCAGTACTACAGGCACCATTGAATTTGTTTTACTAAAAATAATTTCTATGCCCTGGAAGATATAATATCTAAGTAAGTGTAGACTAGGATGAGTTTTTATCTATAAATATGGAAGTGATCTGCAGCCCATAAACACCTGTAACCAACTTCAAATAAAAAGGCTACAAATATGTTGTCATCCATGAGGACTAAGACTATTATTCCTTAGCCCGTAGTTTTTCGGGCTATCTACAGACCAGAATGCAGCAGTTCACTGTTCGGTTGCTGAAATCGGTATCTACCCAAACAAACACCTAGATAGAAAAAGAGTCATCATTATACAAAGTTTGTAAATATTCATATGTGTAATTAATAAAAAGCATGGTGTTTAATAAAATTGTTAGTTACTAGTGCTGGGATACCTAGTTGTTTAAATTTTATACTTAAAACATGAAGCCTGTGTTTAATGAGAATTTTTATTGCTTTATTAATTTATATCGTATATTATTGCAGCAATTAATAAGTTAAATTATGGTTTGAATTACCATTATATTAGTAATTGATGTGTTAAATGTAATAGACTATTTTTTGTACCTGAAATTACTGAAGAACATTTTTATATTGCGTGCTTTAAATAAGCTTGATCTGTATGTATTTATCTATGTACGAATGTAATAGAATTTTGTAGTTCACATTTCATCCACTTCCAGAGGTCTGAATAATCTAAAATTTTGCAGATATTGAAAACTGATGACAATATGATAATTTGATGATTATGACCTTGTATTCTTGCTACGATCATCATAGCCCATGATCATTGCATTTTGTATAAGTTTTCTTAAACTCCATGTGACTATACTTTTATAAGTTGTTGAGTTTTATGTTCAATTTGCAGTCAGACTTAAAGTTTAATATTAATGGTTATAATACAATATGTTAAAAAAAAACTGTATGAATGATGTTTTATATGATATGTTTCTGTTCAAGTCATCCTTTTTAGATAATAAATAAACCCCCCCCCCTTCCCCATAATCATGCCCCACAAACAAGATTGTGTAAACGACGGTATTGCCAGATTTTAAAACTTTGCTAAATTTTAAGCAAATTGTAGTAAAAGCATTTATTTTAATTAACAATAACATTTTTATATTCATTAGTAATATGATGTTTTAATTTTTTTGGTAATGTGATTACGGTACCGATGTGCCCTTTTTGGTTCAGATAGTTATTTACATATTGTATATTTTGAACTTTAAATGCAAATCAAATTGCAAGTAAAATTTTAATTATACCTACACAGAACATGGTCACTTTTTTACCCTAATCAGTGATTATTTTGCATAATAGACACATTTGTTTATAAGTCATATCGTCATATCGTCTGCAAAATTTTATATTTTGAGTTAGTCATAAATTATGGCTAACTAAAAATATAAAATTTTGCAGGGGATATTTTTTTATTAAAAGTAATTTCATAATTGTTGCCTTTTGATAAAAGATTTCTATGCTAAAAATATTATGTATTTTGTAATTAATTGATATATATTTTTAATTTAAATCTTATGGATTGTAAAATTATTCTAATTCTATGCATTATTTTGTGTTCCTAAGACTTGTGACATTATTACTGAATGAACTGCATACTTTATTTTTGTTACTTTGTATTATGACGTTATAATAAAAAAATCATTTGCTTTATAATTTATTTATTAAAGCAAAAAGTGACACATTAAAATATTTTTTAATTTTGCTTACAAGTAACAGAAACATATACACACTTTTTTAACCGATTCGTTGCGGAACCATTTTTCGACAACTTTTAGCTGTGGCGGCGAACAAATATTTCATGACACCTGACGTGTCAAGCGCCACAGACGCCCTAAGCCATGTGTAAAAATAATTATCTTTTTTATGCTTTTTTCACTTGTTTAGACCTAATTAAGTTTAGTTGACATTAAACATCACTTACAAACGGAAGGATACTTGTTTTTAGTGGGTAACTACGTGTTTTCTTTGAAATTATGAGTAAGTGACTTTTTTTATGCAGAGATTACAAACATTATGTACTATTTTTTGTTTTATAAAAAAATCATTTATATAAGTAGGTACAGCTAAATCACCCTGGAAAACCTTGGTTTTTATTAAATTAAATTTTCACCTAATAATAATATTTGTAAATATCAAACAATCAAGAACCTGAATTTGGAAAAAAATAAGGTTTATTATTCATTAATATTTACAAATGTTAAATATTATTTAATGTTATACAAGTTTAAAAGTAAAGTCGATCTGAAAACGTCTAATTAGTAAGAATAGCAAAACAAGTGTTTTCATAAGGAAAAAAACGCCGGCGCTATACGGCGGCGGATTGACAAAATACTATTTATTAGCGAACTTTTTTATGCATGAACGGTTTCGAACTGTTTCAAGCAAAAATAAACCTTATACCATATCACAAGAGCACATGGTACTTCGTAGGTCTATTCGGCCATGTGATAATAATAAGACAAACGCATTGTTTTTTTTTTTTAACAGGAGACTTGTTTCCTAGAAATTTATTTACAACTTGAGTTTGTGAGCGATCGCAATGAATGTTATTATTTGTTACTTATTGGACTATTTTATTGTACAATTTAAAAAAAGATTGTCAACCCCTAAAAATTTCGAATTTTCAAAATATCCAGAAACGACGCTGCAAGCATGAACTACTTGCAAAATAATGAATATTTTGTTCTGGATAAATTTACCAAAAACGCAATTTGAGCGAGTTATAACGATTTTTAAAAAGACACGACTCGTGTGTCATACGCCACACACAAAAGTAATCGACGGCACGCCTGGCGTGTTATCCGCACTGAACCGGTTAATGATCAGCTATGTTTACAGAGTTGCATAGTTTTTTTCTACCTGATTTTATAGCTCCAATAAAGGCCTCTGGGGGATACATCGGACCACCTTGGAGTAGTTTCTTTGCCTTTCTATAAGATGAGATTGATTGGTTGTTAGGTTAACACTTTTCCACTGCAAATAAGTACAGTGCTACCACTACTTTGTTCTTCTGCTGGCCTGCACAATTGTCTTACCGTTACAGCCTATTAAAGTTCACTGCTGAACATAGGCCTCCCCCATAGATTGTCTCATACGTAGGATATTTGCCATAGTTAGCAAGCACGTTGGCACCGCAGTTTTTTTAGTTTTGGTCGTTATTAGAAAGACTCGGCTGGGCAGCGTTCGAGAGATTACGACACAACTCGTCAGGCATACCTCAAAACAAGATTGTTCAATCAGTGCGTGTTGTCAGTGATGACCTATGGATATGAGACCTTTTCCTTCACTGCTGGCCGTATGAGGAAGCTCAAGGTCGCTCAGCGAGCTATGTAGAGGGCTACGCTCAGGGTTTCTTTGCGTGATAGACTTAAAAACGAGGATATCCGCAGTAGAAACAGAGTAACCGTCATAGCTCAACGGATTAGTAAGCTGAAGTGGCAATGGGCCCGCTATATAGCTCGAAGAACCGACAATCGATGGGGAAGAACGGTTCTCGAGTGGCAGCCTCGTACCGGCAGGCGAAGTGTAGGGCGTCCCCCCACTAGATGGAGTGACGACCTGATAAGACATGCAGGAAGTGAATGGATGCAGGTGTCTTGTTTTGTGGCATTCCTTGGGGGAGACCAATGTTCAGCAGTGGACTTGTGATGGGCTGTAATGATGCTTAGAAAGACGCTGCTGCCCATTGCCTGATTTGTTTCCCTCTGTCGGCTCTGATGACAGTTAATAATTAATAGTATCAGGCGTTACTTTGCGGAAGTCCATTGTATTAAAGTTGGTATAAAATTACTTCGCGTACATCCGCTCGATAAAATAAAATGATGTGTCTCTTACCTAGTTTGAAGAGCACCTCCCGCCCTCAATTGCGTGCACTATCACCGTCACCACTAATCCCAGCACCACTACTCCCAACACACCACCGACGACAATACGACGTGTTTCGCCTCTAAACAAGGCATCTTCAGGTGATGTAGACTGCGGTAGCTGACCGCTAAGACACCCACGGGATGATATGGGGTAGTGCATATTCCTACACCGCCATTACACAATTGTCTTAATGAAAGGTAATGTCAATGTTAACCCATTATTAGTTGATGTAAACTGTTCCAAGTATTTTACACGCACGTCTCTAAGTTATTAGCCCCTCTATTTGACATTGAACGCCTGAACTGAACTACTACGCAATGAACAAAGAGACGATTCATAAAGAAATATGGCACACCAGGCACTACTCAATGAAGTTTAATTTTCAAATGTGGTGATCGCGGGCGTCTGTATTTACCCCACCTCTAACGTCCGCAATTAACCCAATAATAGCTTTTCTACACCCGAAATATTTTTGAGATTATACGTGTGATATATTTATTGCTACAGTTTAAATGATGTATCCCCATAAGCTTTTGTGGCAAAAGTAACTTTTCGGTAATTTACATATCACTACATATACACGACAATGCAAATAGCCAAAAATTATCACAAGCCATAAAAATGTATGTCGGTACTTACCTCGAAATGCGTGCTCGGCTTTTCATCTTAACTACTGTTCATGCACTAAAGATGTCAGATTCAATCATATTGTAGGAATTGCGCGACGCGAAAAGGTCTAGCTTACTAGAAACAACTGCTTCTAGAATTGCCCGGTGTCCACAATCACCCCACTCTCCCCTACTACTACGCGACGCGAAAAGGTCTTTCTTACTAGAAACAACTGCTTCTAGAATTGCCCAGTGTCCACAATCACCCCACTTCCCCTACTACTCATCATGAAAATATTATTCAAATAGTGTAATTATACTACCAAATCCAACCCGCGGATTAAGCGTGTTGCAAATAAACAAGACTTGGTGTCTGTTCTAAGATTTTACTGTTTCCGGGAAACTTCAGAAATCTATTTTAATTTTTCGCGATCGAATACTCTGTT